TTTACAGCCTCAGAAACCCTAAAAAGGGTTACTAGAAATTGCAACCAACTGGAGGGCACTTTGCAACAAAAAGAAGTACCCCAAAACTGCCATTTTGAGATGGTGTCAATCAAAGGGCAAAACATTCTTAGGAGAAAGGTTGTTGTTGTTAAGTATCGTCAAGTTGGTTCTGAGCCATAGCGACCCATAAGGTTTCCGAAGAGTAACTGGTGAGCTTGCATTGCCACCTTGCAGTTCAAATGGATTTGCAGTCTGGCGCATTAACCCACAGTGCCACACCAGGACTCCTGAAGAAAGTTTGTTATTGCTGTTGTTGTTAAGTGCCACTAAGTCAGTTCCAACCCATAGAAACCCTGTATAGGGTTTCATAGGAGCAACTGGTGAAACTGAACCGCCATCCTTGCAGCTCAAACGGCTTTGCAGTATCGCACATTAACCCACAATGCCACACCAGGAGAAAGGTTACAGAGAGAGAGAGGGAGATGGAGTGTACTTTTAGAAGTGTACTGATCTAGATGGAGGATATGCTGAGATATAGTTTTACATCTTGATTTTAAAATAAATAAATAAATGTTTCAATGATTCAGGAGCACTACTTTTTTGACTTACCCTTGTGTGAAGTTACAAGTATGGAGTGGTTGAGCCTAAGGCATCAGTACACCTCTGACCAAGGTAGAAGGTTGGACCAGTCCCAATTAACCCATAACATACAAACCTGCTAGCCAAAGATCTGCTTACAAATCAAAACTGTGGGATCAGGACTGGACTGAAAACCACAAGGTTGGCAGTTCAAACTCACCAGTTGCTCCTTGGAAATCCTATATAGTTGTTATGAATTGAAACTCACTTAAAGACACTTGGCAACAACAACATCATTAGCAGAGGACGCGTAAATGGACAGCGGTTGCTGACCAAAGCAACAAGTATCCTCTGACACTTCCATGTTTTGTACACTGTGATGCTGTAGGATAAACACTGGACTGCTAACCTTAAAGTGACAGGTTCAAACCCACCAGCACCTTCTCGGAAGCCCTATACAAGGTCACTCTGAGTTGGAACTGACTCCACAGCACTTAACAACAACAGCAATATTAACGACATAAGGATCCCTGGTGGCACAGGGCTTAAGCATTTAACTACTAATTGAAAAATGAGGGGTTCAAACCTCTAGCAACTCTGTGGGAAAAAGATGTGGCAGTCTGCTTCCATAAAGACTACAACCTTGAAAACCTCACAGGAAGTTCTCGTCTACGAGCCACTATGGGCCAAAATGGACTCCATAGCATTGGGGGTTCGTTCGGAATAGTAGCATGTACCATGTTTATTCAAAGAATTGGCTTACTTGTTAGTTTTGCTTTTTAGATTTAAATGCTACAGAAGACAGGGACCATAACCCTCTTATTTCCAGGAGACAGCATCTAGCTCAGAGTCCTGATGTTGCTCTGTGGGTTAACATGCTAGACTGCAAAGTCATTTTGAACTGTAAGATCGGATGTTCAAGGTCAGCAGCCACTCTTTGGAAACGTATACACGGCCCCTCTGGGTAGGAACTGATTAAGTTGCACTCAGCAACAACTAAAACATGTAGCTCAGTGTCTGGAACAGTGGAGGTACTAATGCATATCCACTGAATTGAATGGACAACTTTCTTTCGGTCATATGATAAACACTTAAGAGACTATGTGCTAAGTGATGGAGAAACAGTAGAGAATGAGTATACGCCAATACCCTCTTGTTGTTTTTATTCAAAAAGGGTCCAATCTGACATTTTTAAGTGTTACCAGAATTGTGTCTCTAAAAACTTTTACAATCATAACATCATAGTGTACAAGACCAATGGTAGAAGGAAGGACAGGAATCACTGTTTACTAGAGTAAATGACATGCCTGAACTTATTCTACTTTTCATAATATAAAAAGAAAAACTAACATGAAATTTTACACATACATTTAAAACTGTTTTACAGAGTTCCTGCCTAGAGTCAGGAAGACAGAGCTCCTGCTATCTTAGAATTTAAAGTCAAAGAGAAACATACTGTATTAGTTTCCAGTGAATCTATAACAGATTACCATAACTATGGTAGCTTAAAATAACACACATTTGTTCTGTTTCTGGAGACCTGGGTGGCACTGCAGGCTCAGTACTAGAATACTAATCGCCAGATTGGTGGTTTAAATCACCAACTACTCCTTGGAAATCCTATACAGGGTCACTAGGAGTCAGAATCCAACTCGATGACACTAAACAAAATGACATTCTCTTTCTATTCAAGATTCTAAAGTTTGACAAAATGGAATCAAAATCAAGATGTCATGACTGGAACTTCTCTGTTAAATATTCCTTTATTTCTCTTATGAAAACATGTGTTGGCTTTTAGAGTCTACCTGAATAATGCAGGCTAATGCTCCTATCACAAGAGCTTTAACTTAACAGCATCTGCAAGTTGGGAAAGACACACTATGAAGTCTATCTAGTAAAGCAGATAGATTTCAAGCAATGCTCTCTTGAGTAGGTCATAAGTTAAATCCTTGCTTCTGGGACAATGTTTAGCGCAAATCATCTTATTTAAACAGCTATGGCTTTTTAAAATACAGATTCAATCTCTTCTTTCACAATGAAATTGTGCACCAAGGGTATCTGATGATTTTCCCCTTAGACAATACAAAAGGACACGTTGAATAATATATACTTTAGATAAATAAATTTTAAGAAGTGAAGGATAGGATTGCTAAGATTTGATGTGTACTTTGAGAGTAATACTTTAATTTTAACACCAAAGGTCTTTTACAGACACACTCTGATTCAATATACACATTTAAAGGGTAAAATGTTAATGTTGAATTTTGACAGGAAGTTGAAACTTGAGAGTAGGAATAGAATTCTTATTCACACATGAATAATTGTAGGCAACTTGATAATTCTTCTGTCTTTTCTTAATCTATTACTAAAAAAATGGTATTAATGTTTAACTCTGATTTTTGTTACAAAGAGCAAGCAGTGACACAAATCAAAACAAAGTTGAATAAATATGACTGGAGCACTTTCAGCCACTAGATCCGCTAGTAGTAAAAATGTCTTTACTTATATGGGGTTCTGATTCTTCTCATTGATTTTCTGAATATTTTAGCATTCTCATAGCTTTTATGATTAGCCTTTCTTTCCACCTCTTGGGACTACTATTAAATATATGTCTCTTACAATTACTGTGTTCCAGACTTGTGAGTCATTATGTTTGTTCCTATGTTTCTCCCATTACATTAGTGCTGTAATATGGATATACAGAACTGTAATATTACCCATGGTTACACATTGGGTGGAATGTAGCAGGCAGTGGTGGGACGAAGGCTGCTCTGAGAATCAGATACCCTGTGACAACTCAAGGTCATTCAGTTTTTAAATTACGAATATAACTATCATCTTAATATATCGTGGTTGATAATTTATAATGGGCACAATCATGTGCCTAGCTGTTTTCATGACCATTTACAGTGTAACTGTTTCACTTTGCATCAGGAGACAGTATATAGTTCCATATCCCTTGAGTCTGGGTAATGTTAATCAATAGTCAAATCAACACACCAAAAAACAACACATGTCCATCCCTAGCATTGAACACCAAGACAACTGGTATGTTTCTAATCTCTGTTGAAACCATGTAAGAGAAGATAAGAAACCACGTGAAGCAGCGCTGAGGTAGCCCAGTTGTTTTGGTTGAGGATGCCCTAGAGTACCTGGTTTCATTGCTAACCACAAATGCAATGGGCCTACGCAAAACTAAAAAACAGCTGCGCTAAGCCCATACCACAGACTTGTGAAATAAACATACACTTATTCGTAATTTTAATTTACTCTGATTTGAGATAGGTTAGTACACACAGCTAAAGTTAGTTGATACACATATTACATACATTTGTGTAAAATAAAATAATACAACCTAGTCTCTTTTTTTCATCATTAAAATAGGAATATTTTAAAGTTTGTTTCTAATGTTGCAACATCATTCAGTGTCATTTTTTCTTCTATTTCAGTAAGACGCTATTTTAGCATCCCAATACCTAATGTAAAGCAAAACATACACTTTAATTCTTCTAAGACTTCATTAAGAATGAAGGAAAGATGAACCATTATTTGTTATTTATTGATGACCAAAATCACTTTATCACATTCTTCACTAAAAAAATTCTGTATCTGTACATTATTAAAACAATGCTGCTCTCTATTTTAAAATACACCTTCAAAGAATTAAACTCTCCCTGTTGACATTATACAATAAGCACTGGATGGCTAACCACAAGGTCAGCAGTTCAAATCTACCAGCCACTCTGTGGGTGAAAGATGAGACTTTCTGATCCCATAAGGTTTATATCCTTGAAAACACTCTACAGGGTTGCTATGAGTAAGAATTGACTCTGAGGCACTGAGTTTGAGTGAATATATGCTAGGGTAGTGGTTTAAGCATTGGGCTGCTAACTTCTAGACTGGTGGTTTAAATCCATCAGTCTCTCTGCATGAGAAATAGGAGGATGTTTGCTTCCATAAAGATCGAAGACCTCTGGAATTCTAAAAAGCAGTTCTACTCTGCTTCTAGGCTGCCCTGTAGGGTCACTATGAGGCTGAACTCACTAAATGGAAATGGAGTTTATACATAAACCAGAGGAGTCCAGTGGCACAGTGGTTAAAGCACTCAACTGATAGTCAAAATGTCAGCACTTTGAACCTATCAGACAATCCAAGAGAGAGGATACAGCAGTCGGCTTCAGTAAACTTTTGCAGCGTTGGAAGCCCTGTGGGATCATTCTATTCCTTCCTGTACATTTGTTATGAGTGGGAATTAGCAGGGGGAGCAGTAGGGTAGGTTATATTAGCCATAGATGCTACTTTCAAAACTTGTATCATTTAGCCATTCAAATAAACTGTGCATCATGACACCTGTGTCACCTCAAGAAAGAAATATGTCAATAGAATTATCAATCAAGTCTAACAATAATAGAATGTTTTACCTCCACAAGTGATTATAAGTGGCAGCAGAGTTATCAGTTTCCATAGCAACCTCATCTCCACGTTCCAAGGTTAAGAATTTCTCCCATAAAACCAACAGGAAAAGTGTCTGTCTTCCAGTCAGTAGCTCAAGAATCTAAAAGAAACAAAACTATCATGAAATGACAAATGTATATACGTGAACAATTAATAACTATATGAATTATCATATATTAATTCAATTTAATATCAAAATATCATTATTCCAAAATAATGTAAACTACATGTCTAAGATATAAATTGTTTTTGTGGTTAAGTGCCATCTAGTCCATTCCAGCTCATAACGACCCTGGTTATGAGCTGGTTATGTACATGATTTTCAAGGAGTGAATGATGGGTCTGAACCACCTACCTTGTAGTTAGCAGTCCAGTACTATCTGCCTATTTATCTATCTATGTGTGTAAATATGTAAGTATGTGTGTTTGTGTGTGTTTCCAAATTTTCACAATTTCAGTTCTAATTTTGGACTAACACCAAGCCTTAGATATACATGTCATTTGCTATAATATGTCCTGTCACTGTTATTGAGTTAGAATGTAATTCAATTAAAAATGTACTTCATATGTATTAAAACTGCCTTTTGTTATAAACATGTTATTTTAAAAATATTAAAGAGAATTAAAAACATGTTTACCTAAGTCCCACAATTCTGCTGTTGGCTTTTTTTTTTTTTCTTTCATATTTCATCACTAACGTACAATGCTCTGCCTTATGCATATGCATATGGACTTTATACATTTACTAGATTTTCTAAGTGTTGCTTTTATCAATATTATTGAGAACATACTCATTAGGAAACATTATCTTTCCTAAAGTTACTATAACTAAAATTAATATTGTGCTACAAGATTTCTGCAAGAAATCAATTTCTAGCAGTACTATCTTTTAGATATTAGGCATGCTTTACCTAAGGGATTATGTTACAATTTTCTATAATTTATTTTGACATTCATGCTACCCAATGATAAATGAAATCAAGATAAAATGTTACTTTGGCCTTTACTCTTAAAAATAAATCTAATAAAAAGCACGTGAACACTCATAAATTCATAAAAAGTACAAAATACACTCATTTAGATTACAGATATAAAATTAATACATTTATCAAATGATAGAATCTGTTGAAACTATAGGCACCAGTGTGGAGCTAGGAAATGATGAAATTGTTATCATTCCTTGATATATGTTTAAATAAAAAATAACTGATTTCGTTCGGTTACTACTTAGATTTCAGTTGAAACCAAACCATTGACTATTCCAGCTTCAAGTTTTTTTGTTTTTTTTACAAAATTTACATTACATGCTTTCACTATTTAACCAGGGAATTCAAGGCAAAGCGAGAATAAACAATACTTTAGGTCCATATGCTATAATGGTAATTTCTCTCAAACCCTTCACTTTTCTATTCCCATTCATACCATGGATTCAAAAATTTCAACTCTTTACATATCCATTACACAATATCTTATATCCGCACATTCACTTATCATTTATGCTGCTCTTGTTAAGCTCTGACTCATACACAACCTGCACAGGGTTTCCAAGGAGTGGCTGGTGAGTTTCAACAGCTGACCACGTGATTTAAACCAACTCTGGAGTCCCGTGCTTTATCCTACAGCATGACAACAGGATTCCTGTAATTTGTTTAATCAATATTTATTTATTTGATACTTAGGTGTTTGTGTTGTTGTTGTAATTAGATGCTATCGAGTTGGTAGTAACACATAGCAACTGCATGCACACACTGCCGGAAGTGGTAACATTCTCAACCTCATTGTTCTGTTTGACCCCATTGTTGCTACCACTGTGTCAATCCATGTCACTGGGGGTCTATTTTTTGTTGACCCTCCATTTTAACAAGCAAAATGCCCTTCTCCAGGCATGGTCCCACCTAACAACATGTGTGAAGTATGATACATACCCTCTTGCCATACTCTATTCTAAGGAACACTCTGGCTGCGTTTTTTTCTGGTTGTCGCCTGTTTCAACTCGCAGCAACCATGTACAGAGTTTCTGAGGAACAGCTGATGGGTTTGAACTGCTGACCTTGTGTTTCACAATCTGGTGCATATCCTACAGTGCTGCATCAGGGGTCTACAGTACTACAGTATTCTTCTCCAACACAAGAAATTACATGATCGATTTTCTCTATTCTTCCTTATTCATTATTTAACTTTTACATGCATATGAGGCAACTGAAAAAACTATGGCCTGGGTCAAGCAGCACCTCAGTCCTCAAAATAATATTTTTTTGCTTCTTTAACACTTTAAAAAGGTACTGTGTAGCAGATCTGCCTAAGACAGTACACCATTTGATTTCTTAACTGCTGCTTCCAGGAGTGTTATAAATCTAAATAATAATGGCATTAACTGATCTTCTTTGTAGGCATACGGATATTTTCATACGATACACAGCATGGCATTATAATATAGAGCTTGAAACACTCTTTTTGAAGATGATGCAATTCCATTCCTCTTCAGTCTATTGTTCCTCGTATAGCAAACAATACGGTTGCCTGATTCAAAATGGCCAATACCTGTCCGTTTCAACTCATTAATATCTAGGATATTTATCTTTATGTGTTCCATTTCATTTGTGACAACTTCCAACTTTTCCTAGACTTACACTTCATACGTTATACATTCTGATTATAAAAAGAGAGGTTTGCAATTCTTTCCTCTCATTTTCAGGTGTCCCTCATCATCAAATGAGGGTCCCAAAAGCTTTGCTCCATTCACATCATTAAGGTCAACTCTATATTGAGGAGGCAGCTCTTCCTCAGTTGTATTTTGAGCAACTTCCAACCTGAGGGGCTCATCTACTGACACTGTATCAGCCAATATTCAACTTCTGTTCATAAGTTTTCCAGTGGCTAATCATTCAGACTGGCCAGCACTTTACAACCACAAGCATTCAGAAGTGATCTGTCTCTCTTTTCTAGTCTGACTTAGTCTAGAAGTTTTACTGCTTGCCTTCAAATTGGCTCTGTTTACTCAGAGCATACTTTATTTCTCAGCATATGCTATTTGACTTTCATAGAATTCCTCCTTGGAGGCTGTAGTTACGTACTGTCAAGTCGGTTCTGACACATAGTAATCCTCTACCCAATAAACTGAAACACTGCCTGATCCTGTAGGCAGCCTGATGTTGGTGGTCATGTGCCTGTAGAGACAGTTCCGACTCATAGAAACCCTATACTGGCTTCCAAGGAGCAGCCGATGAGTTTGAACTGCCGACCTTGTGGTTCAAACTGACCTTGAGGCCTAGCGCTTTACCCACAGCACTACCAGAGGTCCTTCTTGTTATTACTACGTGCCATAGAGTCAGTTCCGACTCATAACACCCCTGTATAGGGTTTTTGAGGAGCACCTGGTGGGTTTAAACTGCCAACTTTGTGGTTCACAGTCCAGTACTGATTCTGTAGCACACCACCAGAAGTCCTTATATCTCCTTAAAAACAGTATATTGGCAGTATGACTTATCTCAAAAATTTCCACAGACATTTCTTTTTTACTTAAATGTCCTGACAGAATTATTAGTAATACCTTCTCTATACCCCAATTTTCCCTGTTTATAAGGTACTTTATGTTGTTGTTAAGCTGTTAATTGCCACCCAGTCTGTTAAACATAGTGACCCTGTATAGGGTTTCCAAAGATTGGCTGGTGCGTTTGAGCTGACACATTATATCGTCACCTGAAATTGTGGTTGTTGTATGCCGCCAAGTCGATTCTGACTCACAGAAACACCATGTATAGGGTTTTTGAGGTTGTAAATCTTTACAGGAACAGAAAGCATCATCTTTCTCCCATTCAAACTGCTGACCCTGTGGATAGCAACCTAACATGTAAACCAGTATGCCAACAATGCTACCATAATGATCACACTAGGTAAAATTAAAACTACACATAAGAAGAAAATAGTTTTAATTAAGCATGTTGGTTTAGATTGACTAAATTGGTTAAGGAAGAAAATATCCAGTTTGTCAATATGCTTGGAGTAAAAGTTGTTTGGTACATTTTAAGTTTTTATTAGGTATTCAAACTTTTTTGATCACTTTCGTATTTTTAATAACCCAACAAAGTAATTTACCTTGAAATAAATCAATTCATTCTTAAAAGTTCTAAGATAAAGTTTATTTTGCTATGTCTGTTAAAGAAGCTCTGGTAGCAGAGTGATTCGAGTCAGGCTGCTAACCTCAAGGTCAGCAGTTCAAAACTACCAGCTTTCTGCTCCCATAGAGAGTTACAGCCTAAAAATCTTATACAGGATCGCTATGAGTCGGAACCAACTCCATGGCACACCATCACCACCACCACCACCAATATGCCTGTTAATAAGTATTTACTGAAAAAGATAGGAGAGGGCATTTTTTTTTTTTAATTACACATTTATTCTGTTGTTGTAATTTTCCTTTTTTATTATATTTTCAGAAACTACATAAAATCACTCCTATATTTTTCTTCTAAAATACCAATAATTTAAAGATGTTTCTTGGGAAGGATAAAAATGACACTTGATATGCACTTTATATATCAACTAAAATTTAGTTAAAACAGAACATTTTATCTCCCAAATCTATAAATTCATTATTTACACTTTAGTGAAACTGTGTTTTTTGTCTCAGATCTTTGACAAAGAACTTGGGGGTTGGGTTTTCCACTTTCTTCTTCTGCAAATGGAACAAAACTATTAAGTATTGGAATGTGAAATAATGAATATTAATTCATTTCTTATGCCCAGTACTTCTAATAATACAAAGCAGCAGCAATAAAACTTTCTTTTGGGGAACCAGTGCCCAACTCACCCCAGTCCATATGATTAAAATGGAACTGCTTTATCTAACTACAAAGATAAGCATATGACCAGGACTTAGACAATCACGAATCCATTTCCTTGGCTAAGCTATTTTGTAAAGGGAGGTGGCTAAAGCCAGTCCATTGACAGTATATCTCAGTACCTTCAAGGGTAAGATCTTACCCCTGAGTAGTAAGATATAAGCCTAATGACCCAACCATTCATAAAACCCTGGAATTCAAAGATATGTGAGCCAATAAACCACAATTTTGCTGAATTGAGTTTGTGTTGTATTTTTGT